TCAGGTTAAACTAAATAAAGGTGTAGCCGGGCTGTGTACCCTTTGGACCCTTCCAGGGGCTACTCTTGCTCCTTCTAGCTGCTCGAGACAACCATAAGGGCTGGGGATGTAGCCCAGTTGTGGAGACCTTGACTAGAGATAACCGCATTCCTTGGCTTGTGACCCAGTTTCTTCATCCAAAACCAGCAATGTCACATGCCTCTGACTTTTGTGCAATCTTACAATACGCTTTCTAACCATAGTCAGGGACCAGGGGGTGGGGGGGTGCTGTCGCTCAGGGATGGAGCGCTTACCTACCATGTGTGGCTCTGGGTTCCCCCAAGTAGGGCACCGAAAAAAGAAAGACAGGAAGGAAGGAAGGAAGGAAGAAAGAAAAAAAGGCAAGAAAAGAAAAAAAAAAAGATTAAGCATACTTAGGAAATGCTGTCTATGTTTAAGAACGCCTGTAATTAAACAGATTGGGTGCAATTGGGGAACACAGGGTAATCTGCCCATTTTAAGATCCTTGACCTTAGCCAGGCATAGTGTGGAATGGCTTTAATCCCAGCACTCAGGAAACAGAAGCAGGTGGATCTCTGAGTTTGAGGCGAGCCTAGTCTACAAAGCAAGTTCCAGGACAGCTATGACTGTTACTCAGAGAAACTCTGTCTCAAAGAACCAAACCAAACCAAAAACCTTAATTACATTTGTGACCTTTTGAGTTTCTTGGCTAGGTAAAATAACATACGAACATGGGCACCTTGTTCCTTGGCTTGTGACCCACATGGGGGTCTTTACTCTGCCAGGACTGATTATGAGGTTCTTATTTTAAGAGGGCAGTTTGAAACAGGAGAAAGTATTTCACATTGGAAAGTTGGGAGCTGGAGCGATTTAATCAAACACATCTTTGCATCATTAAACAAATGTTCCAGAGCATACATAGAAGGAATGCACCTTAAAATAATATTCTACAACATACATATTGCAGGTAAACACTCATACATGTAAAACAACATAAATACATTTTTAAGTTAAAAATATTGGGAGGTTTGATATTCATACTCGAGTTGGGAAAGATAAGTGGTTATACAGGTAAAGTAGGTTCTATGGGCCAGGCGTGTGGGTGTGGTGTGTAAAGGCTAAAAAACTGTAGAAAAATGGCCCACTGGTAGCTTGGGGTAAAACTTTCCTTTTCAGTCTGTAAAGAGACTACATAGCTGAAAATAAAGCTGAAAAAAATGAATTTCAGCTCTGCTAAGGAAGGAATAAGTGAGCATTTTGAACCACACGTTAGGATAACAGAAAGCACGGTGGCGCGCCAGCTCCAGGTTCTAGAGAGGACACTGGTAACCAACACAAGGGAGAAAATGTTTTCATCTTACAGGAGCTTGAGCCGTTAGCATGCTTCAGAGGGAATTCCTAGGTTAGAATTTACAAGACTGTATTCCGGACTGGGTTCTGAATGCAGCTGGTCTGTGTCTCTCCGGTCAGCATGTCGTCTCTGGATTTACGCCTTACCACATGAGTGGGTCTCTGTAACTGGCATGGTGACCAGTTCATGGTGACAAATACTATCTCTTGACAATCATATTTCCAATGACAAAAGGCAATTTGTAAGAAATACTATTCTAGGGGCTGGCAAGAGGGCTTAACGATTAAGAGCACTGGCTGCTCTACTGGAGAACCTGGGTTCGATTCCCAGCACCCACATGGCAGCTCACACCTGTCTGTAACTCCAGCTCCAGGGGATCTGACACCTTCATTCAGACATACATGCAAGCAAAACACTAATGCACATAAAATAAGAATAAATAAATCTTTTTTTACAAAAAGGAATACTATTTTAACTCTAAGCACTTTCAGAAATGTGGTATTCTGCCACGGTGGGTTTGAGTCTTTGCTACGTTCCAGGCACTGTGCTGAATATTTTTTATTTAAAACTTTTTAAAATAAACAACAAATGAATAGTAAAACTTTAAATGGTCCCTGCTGGTCGGCTGTCACCTGAGCATGAAGGGGAAAATAGAAGAGGAACAGATACATCCTGGTATTTTCTACTCCAGTAGCAGATTAGTGAGCAAATGACATGTCGGAGACCAGTGAAACTTTAGAAAGGTAGTTTTGCCCTTGATAAAAGGGAACCCTGTAATTCGTGTTTTAAAACCACTGATTTATTCTGTGTGTGTCTGAGTCTTTAAAGGAACAACAATAGATGTATTTGGCTGAACATGGTCATTTGGGTCCTATAAGCTAGAATCAGCACGGACATTCTAGGTGGGTTTTGGATCTGAATTCTATTTCCACATTAAGATGAAAACAGTTGTTCCTCTGACTCTATTTGTATCACTATAATCAAATTAAATTTCTGTTTTGTACACCTGTCTGTCTAACCACCGACCCAACCGACAAATAAGTGTCCGACTCTTGTCCCAGAGAGGTTTCTTTCTCCACCTGCATTCCATCTTTCTGTGTGTATTCCTCTCTCTGCACTGAGGCTGTCCTGCACCTCTGCTAGCCGCCTCTTATCTTCCCAGAGGCACCAGCATGCTTTCTTATTCTTCCAGATGTATTTTATCTTTTTCAGGTTTATTTTGTGTGTATGAGTGTTTCGCCCGAGTGTACGTATGTGTATCATGTGAGTGCCCATGAAGGTCAGAAGAAGACATCAGGTCCCCTGGAACTATAGCTACGGATAGTTGTGGGTCACAGTGTGGGTACTGAAGACTGAACCCGAGTTCCCCTCTATAAGAGCAGCAGTTGTCGTCTCTCTAGTCCTTAGATATATTTCAATATCAAGCAAATATATAAGACTACTAAGCCACTCCACATACATTTTTACGCACCTTTTGTTCTTTGCCTTCCTCGTTTTTCTAGTGTGTGAATACCAGCCATTGTACAGACAGAGCACAATTTATGCCATTGTCGACATTTTCATTGGGTTTAATATGCTATTCCTAACATTACCAAAGTAAATACTCATACTGAGAGGCCTGTGGGGTGTCGTCCTACACACAGAATTTCTGGCATGTGTGTAATCTCTTTGTCTCTCGTCCTCTGTAGAAGCATGCTGGTTTCTCTACAGTCTTATCGACATGGTGGTGAGCTTTGCTAACACTGAAGATGAACACTGCTGGCTCAGTGGAGTCACAACCTGCGTTTTAAAAGTCAGTTGTATTTCTCTTCTGTTTCTCTCAGGCAATTGTGATTAGGAGAATTCTTCATCTATTAGAGAAATTAGTTTCTGTTCACAAGTCACAAGTATTTTTTTCCAAATTTGACTTTGTGGTAGCTGCTGTCGTGCAGAGTTTTGAATATTACTTTACGGAAACATATATTGTGAATTCTGTGCTTTTTGTTTGGCTTTTTTAAAGATTTATTTTATGTATATATGTTCTTGTCTACATGTACATCTGCTCACCAGAAAGAGGGCACTGGATCTCATGACAGTGATGAGATGGTTGTGACCCACCACGTGGGTGCTGGGAATTGAACTCAGGACCTCTGGAAGAGCAGCCTGTTCTTTTAACCACTGAGCCATCTCTCCAGCCTTTTTTTTGTTTTGTTTTGTTTTGTTTTGTTTTCAAGACAGGGTTTCTCTGTATAGCCCTGGGTGTCCTAGAACTCAGACTGTGGACCAGGCTGACCTTGAACTCACAGAGCTCTACCTGCCCCTGCCTCCCCAGGTCTGGAACCAAAGGCATGCACCACCATTGGGCTGAATAACAACTCTTAAGTACACAACAGGAGTAGGGATCGAGGTTTTGGAGTTAAGAACAGAATCGTGGCTTTTATATTTCCAGATTCAGAGTGGGTCCTGCTTACATACATAACCCCTCTGTGCTTCATGGCTTCACAGGTAAAATCTAAAAGACAAACTGTACTGAGTTTGAGATGAAAATTGCATGATTTGTTTAAAGCCCACAGGGCAAGCCTCCACTAAATGAGAACTATTACTGTGTTGATGGTGGCCATAGACAGCTCTCCAGCTTTTACTCACATCCCACGCTTCCTAGTTCCAAGCAGAAGGAACTGGGTAACAACAAGGACCAGTATGTCTCATACACCTCACGGGCAGCTCTAACCCGCCTCGGAGGTCTAGAGCCACTGTTCCCACACCAGACCAAGGACCTCAGACCGGAGAAAAGAGCAGTGTGGAGCATAGCATAATCTATGGGTCACGTGCTATGAATTTGTCAGAAAGTCATCAAAGCAAGGATGGGGGAGCATGGAGAGAGGCCAGAGATGGGGAGGAAATCAGCTATGGTGGTGAACGTGTTTCTTATGTTTATGAGGAGCTGTACACCCATGTAACCTTGCTAAGGTAAAGGGCACCATGGTCCTACGTTCGTCAGGGATGTTGATGGATTGTGGAGACAGGACCGAGGCTAGCTGTTTAAGATTATTATTCCACATTGCCTCCTTTTCATAGCTCCATCTCTGGCTCTTTTTCTGTGTGTGTACTGTGGGGTTGAAATCCTCAATAACTCTCAAAATCAATTATTATTTCTGAAAATCAGCAAGAAAGCTCTATGCATTTTTGTAGTTTAGGAAGTAGCTTTTGTAGTTTAGGGATTTATGAAGATTTGCAACAGTATTTTAAAGGAAGTATAGCTGGGCGGTGGTGCTGCATGCCTTTAATTCAAGCACTCAAGAGGCGGAGGCAAAGGCGCGTCTTTGTGAGTTCAAGGCCAGCCTGGTCTACAGCGCAAGTTCCAGGACAGACAAGGAAAAAAAAAAAGTGGACAAGAAACTTAGATATTATCATTACCAAATCTCACTGAAACTCTGTGGTTTAAAAAGACTGTCCAGCCGGGCGGTGGTGGCACACGCCTTTAATCCCAGCACTTGGGAGGCAGAGGCAGGCGGATCTCTGTGATCTCTGTGAGTTCTGAGTTCGAGGCCAGCCTGGTCTACAAGAGCTAGTTCCAGGACAGGAACCAAAAGCTACGGAGAATCTCGAAAAACCAAAAAAAAAAAAAAAAAAAAAAAAAGACTGTCCAGGCCTAGACTCTACTCCATGAAAATCTGAAGATTCCAATGGTTTTTTTATAGTTAATAAGTTTCTCACAAAACTAATTTTAATTAGATATGACAATCATCCTAGCTTTTAAAACTTATATTTTTGAAAGTCTTATTTTGTCATAACTTGTCTAAAGCAGCATAGCTTCTCAAAATTGACGATTTACCAAACTACACCTTGGGAATGTTAGATTAATACATGCCGGTGTTACTAGCAAATTTATATCTTACAATGGAGTCTTCACCCAGATGGGTAGCTAATGGAGATGGGGGTGGGGAGGGGGACTGCATCTTGGATAAACTGGAGTATCCAAGTTCTGTGGCCTTTCAAATCACGGCCCACAGATCCTTGATGAACAGAGGACCAGCTAGATCCTGGGTCTTCCTTCTGTATCTTAATTTTTCTGCTCTTCTTTTTGAATTGCCCTTCTTGTGATTATTGGGACTCACATAATTCTTATTGTTGTGCTTGGATCTCTTCCTCCCAAGATCGTACGTACTTTTTGGAGGTTGGAATACACTTGCTTTTCTCTTTTTTTAAAGACTTATTTTATGTGCATCAGTATTTTGCCTATATGTATGTCTGTGTGAGGGTGTGAGATCCCCTGGAACTGGAGTTAGCTGGAACAGTTATGAGCTGCCATGTGGATGCTGAGAAATGAACCCATGTCCTCTGGAAGAGCAGTGCTCTTAGCCTCTGAGCGATCTCTCTAGGCCTGGAAGACTCTTGCCTCTTACATGAGCTAGTATTTTGTCTTGGTACATGAAAGGAGCTTTAAAAATGTATAATTTAACTACATTTAAAATGGTAATGATTTTAATTGTTTTCTTTTTTCCTGTTATTTTAGCTTTCATGGCTTAGTTTACAACATCTATGAAAAATACAAAGTTCCATTTCATGGCAATATATTTTGATTTCTGAATGTAGTAATGAGATTCTTACTTTCAAAAGCCAGGAATTAGTAAGTTAAAAAGCAAGGTAGTAGTCGTGGTATCAAAATAAATAAATAAGTAATAATAATTAAGTAAGCTTTAGTACTAATTGTGTAGAATAACTTTAAGAGAAACACTGAGCTGGGCATAGCGGCACACACTTAAGTATGTCTTAAGTATGTATTTGCCACTGAGAGCACTTCTAAGCTTCCATGACTTTGTTCATATACGAGTGTGCATGCATACATATTATTATTTTTTTTTAAATTTCTTTTGTTTCTGTTTTATCGAGACTGGGTTTCTCTGTGCAGCCCTGGCTGTGTTGGAGCTTGCTCTGTAGACCATGCTGGCCTCGAGGCTGTGGAGCCTGTCCTGGAACTAGCTCTGTAGACCAGGCTGGCCTCGAACTCACAGAGATCCGCCTGCCTCTGCCTCCCGAGTGCTGGGATTAAAGGCATGTGCCACCACCGCCCGGCCTTATTAATGATTTTTAAGTGCCCAAAGAATACATCTTTCACCAACTTTTGTTTTGCTAGCCGTATAATCAGCTAAAAGTAGCTTAAGAGAAGTTCAAAAGTGGTAACTAGCCTGGCGGTGGTGGCACCAAATTCGAGGCTAACCTGATATACAGCGTGAGTTCCAGGACAACCAGGACTACACAGAGCAACCCTGTCTCTAAAAATAAAAAACAATACAAAAAACCTGGTAAGTGGACTTAAACAGATTATTTTTCCCTCAAAGTTATAGTTATAGAAATTATAGTTATAGAAGATCCCAGTTTCTGAAATAATTTCACAGTATTAGTTAAAAAAAATAAAATAACATTCTATTGAATAACAATTCTTCAGAACCATTTTGAGACTTCTCACATGCTAATTTGCAAATAAGCAAATAGCAGGGTGGTAGCAAAAAGACCATTAAAGTTGTGAACATTTGTATGATTTCTAATTTAAAATATTCTTTTCAATTCAAAAGCTCCAAGTCTCACAAACATTAAAATTGTTTGCATAAGTGAAAATTACTGATATGAGAAAATCGTTTTATGGGATTTTTTTCAGTAGTAAATTCAACATCGTTAAGATTCTAATTGAACTAAACATTGACCTTACTTAGAGGTTTATATATCGTTTTTTAAAGTATGTGTTTAGTTTTAAATATGTGGGGGATCCTGTGTGATAGCATTTCAAACTTTTGCCTTTTCCTGAGCTATCGAAATCTTTGAACTGTTTTTAAGTATTAAGACGAATTGGTGTCAAGAAAGGTACTTTCTTCAAGATGGATGTTTACGCATGCAAAATACTTGAAGAGTTTTAGCAATTTCGTTCCTTAATTCTTTTCCTTCGCTTCTCCAAAAAGCACTTTAAATCGGAATTGGAATCCCTTTGAAGAGCTGAGCGCTAGTAGCACACTGGCAGAGACGAGGGCTTTACTTTGTCAGCCATGTGTTTCGGGAGCGCTGGCGCTTTCCCTAGATCTTCTGGCTGATAATCTCAAACATGGAGGATGCTTCTGATTCTTCACGAGGGGTTGCTCCATTAATTAATAATGTAGCTCTCCCAGGCTCTCCGCCGTCTCTTCCTGTATCAGTGACAGGCTGTAAAAGTCATCCAGTAGCCAATAAAAAGGTAGAAGCGAGAAGCGCAAAGCTCCTCCCCGCGGCTCTTCCTCCTTCGGAGCCGAAAGTAGCTCAGAAACTTCCCAGGAGCGCGGAGAGGCGGGGAAGCGCCGGCGGGACGCGATCCCCCCCCGCGCCGAGCCGGCCAGTGGCAGTGCGAGCGGCGGCGGCCGGGAGAGACTCCGGGGCGGGGCGGCCGGGCCCTCGTGGCGTTCCTCGTGGGAAGGTGCGGCGGCGGGCGGGCGCTCGCAGGTGAGGGGCTCGCCGGCCGGGGTCCCGGGGACCCGGGAACAAAGCGCCGCGGCACCCGGGGGGAATCCGTGGCCGCCCTGCTGCGGGGGTCGGCGCGGCGTCTGGCACATTGCGAGTCCCGGGGAGGCGGCGGCGGCGGCGGCGGCGGCGGCCGGGAGCGGCGCTGGGGGAGGGGGCGGCCGCCCCATTGTAAGGCGCCCGCGGGGCGCGCCGGGGCCGCCCGGCTGACTGACTGACTGACTCGGCACCCCGGCGGCGGCCGTGTTGGTGGCGGTGGCGGCGGCGGCGGCGGCCCGGAGGACCGGGGCGCGTCAGTCACACAAAAGGCAGCTCAGCTCACCCCGGCGCTCCCCACCTTACCGGCTTTCCTTTCCCTCCAATTTGCTCTAGGGACGCGGGGCGGACGCGCGCGGCCGGGAGATGCCGCTGCTCCACCGAAAGCCGTTCGTCAGGCAGAAGCCGCCGGGGGACCTGCGGCCGGACGAGGAAGTTTTCTACTGTAAAGTCACCAACGAGATCTTCCGCCACTACGAGTAAGGCCGGCAGCGGCGGCGGTGGCGGGGGCAGCGGGAGCAGGGCGCCGGGGCAGCGGGGACAGCCACCCCCGCGCCCTTTTGTCTGTCTGTCTCTCCTCTCGTCTCTCCCCTCTCCCGGGGGCTTGCGACCGGGTGACCGGGCCTCTCCTCCCCCGCGCGCCGTGACCGCGTGGGGCGGCGGGCGGCGGGGCCCGCGGAGGCCCGGGGACCGCTCGCAATCGCCGCGTTCGCCGGGCGGCCGGGCGGCCGGGCGGAAACTCCCCGGCTCGCCCCTCCCCGCCCGCCGCGCTCGGCCGGCCGCACGCGCTCGCCGGTTCCGGGATCCCCGCCGGGTCAGCCGCGCGCCGCCGCTGTCCCGCAGCCGGGAGAGGGAATCCCTGACCCCGAGGGCAGGAAACAGCCGGCCCCGGGGACTGGCTACTCGCGGTCGCGCGTGGCTTCTGACTTTTTTTGGGGGGGGGAGGGCGAGGAGAGTTGGGGGAGGCTGCCAGGGCGAAGGTGAGGGACCGGGGCCGGCGTGGAGGCTCGCTCCGCTGAGCAGCGAGGGACTCCACAGCCGGCCGGGAGAACCGGGGCTGGGGGCGTTGGGGCCACGGGTGTCCCGAAGCGGCGGCCTCGCGTCCCGCGCCGCCTAGGCCTGGGAGTGTGCGACGCGAGCCGCGCTCTGTCACCGCCTCTTCTGGGTGACTAACTCCCGTCCCCGGGGAACTCGGCGTCTCCGCCCCCGGGAGACCGGCGAGGAAGAAGTCGCGCCGAGCGTGGGGGAAAGGAGTGGGAGGCTACTGGGGCCCCCCGGACGCCCCTCATTTTTTGCTTTCGTGTAGGCGAGCGTGCGGCCGTGGGAGTTGGGGGGGGCGTTAGACAGACAAGTTCAACTCCAGCTCCAGTCTGTCGCCTCTTAACCCCCCCCCCCCGCGCATGTGGGCCGCCTGACATGTGCCACTGCTTTTGTTTTGATAAGAACCCGAAGCTGCTGCTTGCAGATGTAGCTTCAGCTCCCGAATTTTCAGTTCGCTGCCGGGTAGAGCCAAGAGCTCCGCTCGCTCAGTGACACGAAGCCGTAAAGAAGTTGGTCTCAGCGATCCGGGTTGAAACAGGGACCCGAATTGATCAGTCACAGGAACAGCCTGATCCTCCCCCCCTTTTCTCCTCCTTTATCCTCCACGCAGCCTCTCTTTGTGGCTTAGAAACCGTGTGTTAATAGCAACCAAATACGTGGTGTGTAGGAGGATTTCAGAGTGTGGGGGGCTGGGGGGGAAGGCTTGATCCAGGGAGGTCTTCAGGCGAACCCTGCAGCTGCCTGAGAAAGTAGAGCATAAGGGAAAAGTCAGTTCCAAGTTACACCCCCTCCCTTCAGCTCCCTAGAAGGGGTTACAGGTAAAGGTGTTATCTGGAGGACTAGATGGTACATCATATAATTTCCTAATGATTTGTTCTATTATCCACTGACTTAATGTCTTGAACTCTTGGCTGCTTAGAATTGAAAGTTTACATTTAGAATATAAAGTTTACTATTCTTTTCCACCTCAAACGAGTAGACAGTTCAGCTTGTTTCAGCCTGGCTTTCCAGTGAAAAGGATATGATAGCTTATAATACGTTTTGCTTTTGTTGTTCATCAATTCTTTGTTGTTAATTCAGCCCTTTTGTAAATGAGGAAAGGTGTCAGAGTATTGATTGCAGTTGTAATCACATATTCAGCCACTGATGGCACCAGAATTTTAGTTCATATTTTATGTGAGGAATTCTTGCTGTTGTCAGGGGCTGTAGACATATGCACAAAGAAGCTAGAATTACAAGCCGGGCGGTGGTGGCGCACGCCTTTAATCCCAGCACTCGGGAGGCAGAGGCAGGCGGATCTCAGTTCGAGGCCAGCCTGGTCTACAAGAGCTGGTGCCAGGACAGGCTCCAAAGCTACAGAGAAACGCTGTCTCGAAAAACTTAAAAAGAAAAAAAAAAAAAAAGAATTACAAACTGTGTTTCTGTAGATGGCACCACTTTCTTGTCTGTTCAGCGCTGACCTTTCCTATGCCTCTCAGCGATCAAGCTCTTGGTAGTAGTGGGCAAATCAGAAGAATGCTGTCTGTTTATGAATGACAAGCTGGCCAGGAACTTGAGATCCTCATGGGCTTGCGGGCTGAGATTACAAGCATGTGCCACCACACCTGGTGCCATCAGTTTACCGTGGGGTAAAATGCTTGTCATACCAGCCAGTTCTCACACTGATGATGGGACACGTGAAATCTAGCTGTAGTCGGTCTGGTGAGCATGCACTTTTCAAGGGAATGTGGATAATCTTTCGAGCCAGTGTCTTTATTTTTTTTTTGAGCCAGTGTCTTTAAATTAGGTGTATTTAGCTCCTTTTTAGGAATATGTTGGTTACATGTTGCTGACTGTTGCGTTCACAGGTCCTTTTTTCCTAGGGTACAGCAGAGATTCCTAAATGCTTTATATTTTTTCTTACTTTTTATTTATTTTATTTTTATTTATTTTGGTTTCTCTATATAACAGGCTTGACTGTTCTGGAAAACTCTTTGTAGACCAGACTTGGCCTCCAAAAACTCACTGAGATCTGTCAGCCTCTGTCTCCTGGAGTGCTGGGATTAAAGATTTGCCCCACTCCTCCTGGCTCCTCGGCCTCCTGGAGTGCTGGGATTAAAGGGCGCCCCACTTACTGTTTTCGGCTTTCTTTTTTATGCTTAACACATCATGCTTTTTAATGTTAACACAGTTTTCTTCATTCAAAACATGTATATCAGTAGTACCCCAGAGCTTAATGGATTGAAATAATAATCCATTTTGTTGATCTCACTATTGTATGGATTCTCACTTTGGTTTTGCTAGTTTCCTTTGGGCTCATCCACTTAACTCTGTCCAGTTAGAGGCAAAACTGATCTTGAATAGAATAAGAAATGAGCGCTGACACAGTGTGGTACTCTGAAGAGATGTCTTTTCTCACCTGAAGAGGGTGTTCTGAGCTGCTCCAGGACAGACAGACAGACAGACAGACAGACCTGGGAGGTGGGGAATAGGAAGAGAGGAGAGGCGGTTTCAATATATTCTCTGGCAACTCCTTGAAGGCAAGCACGGGAACAACAGAAATTTTAAAAAGAAAGAGCTTAAATCACTATAGTTAAGACAAGGGCAAGCAATAAAGTATGCCCACAAGTTCTTTAGGATGAATTTTAAAAAGTTTGAGAGTGGCCGGGCTGTTGTGCCCTTTACAGAGGCAGGTGGATCTCTGGGAATTCAAGGTCAGCGTGGTCTACAAGACCTAGCTCCAGGACAGACTATGAAGAAAACCTGTCTGGAGTGGGGGAGTGTGTGTGTGCGCCTGTGTGTGTGCTATGTGTGTTGAGAGTATAAGTATGTGTGATGAAAACAGTGGCCACCCTGAATTCAAGGTCTGATAAAACTTAGACTCCATGTCTAAGAAAATCAGCAGTCAGTGTTGGGGCTGGAGAGATTAACAGTTAAGAGCATTGGCTCTTCTTCCAGAAGACCTGGGTGCAGTTCCCAGCACTCATAGTTGTCGGGAATCCGGTGCCCACTTTTGGCCTCTGTGAGCACCAGACACATACACAGTGCACCAACATACATGCAAGCAAAATATCCACACACATCCTAATAAATAAAGTCATATTTCAAAGGAGGCTGAGCACCTTTAGCTTTCTTCGCAAACAAATTGGGTTTAGGATATTTATTATAATCTGATGTTATTAATCAAAATACAGTCAAAATTGGGCCAGCGCGATGGCTCAGCACTTGCAATGCAAACCAGACGACCTGAGTTGAATTTGATCCCCAGAACCCACAGTAAAAAGAACTGACCTCTGCACATACTCACTGTGACACTTGTGTGCTTATACTCTCAACACGTAACACACACAACCAAAACAGGGTTTCTCCGTAGCTTTGGAGTCTGTCCTGCAACTAGTTCTTGTAGACCATGTTGACATTGAACTCCCAGAGATCCGCCTGTCTCTATAAAGGCCTGTGCCACCACTGCCCAGCCATACTCAAACTTTTTAAAATTCATCCTAAAGAACTTTATTGCTTGTCTTAACTATAGCGATTTCAGCTTTCTTTTTAAAATTTCTGTTCCTGTGCCTGCCTTCAAGGAGCTGCCAAGAACTTCCTCAGATTCTTAAGCTAGTTAAGTCCCATTCCTCAGTGCTGAACTTTCTTTAGGTGTTCCTCTGACACCGTCTTTTTTGCTGTTTTGGTGAACCTCTTAGGACAGAGGTTCTCAACCTGTGGGTCACGATGTGACCCCCCCCCTGTTGGGGTCTTACACGGGGGTAGCCTAAGACCTTCAGAAAACACAGGTATTTATATTACATTTATAGTTGATCAAAATTTAAATTATGAAGTTGCAGTGCAAATAATTTATGATTGGGGTCACTACAACATGAGGAACACATAAAAGGTCACAACATTGGTAAGGGTGAGAACCACTGATTTAGGGTCTTCTTTGCACATAAGATCTTTGAACGATAAAAAAGTTGGGGCTGAAAGATGCTTAAGGAAATGTTCAACATCCTTCGTCATCAGAGAAATGCAAATCAAAACCACTCTGAGATTCCATCTTACACCTGTAAGAATGGCCACTGATGGCAACTTATGCTGGAGAGGTTGTGGGGTAAAGGGAACACTCCTGTGTTGCTGGTGGGAGTGTAAGCTGGTACAGCCCCTTTGGATGTCAGTGTGGTGATTTCTCAGAAAATTAGGAAACAACCTTCCTCAAGACCCAGCAATACCACTTTTGGGTATATATCCAAAGGATGCTCAATCATGCCACAAGGACATGTGCTCGACTATGTTCACATCAGCATTGTTTGTCATAGCCAGAACATAGAAGCAACCTAAATGTCCCTCAACTGAAGAATGGATAAAGAAAATGTGGTACATTTACACAATGGAGTACTACACAGCAGAAAAAAATAGCGACATCTTGAAATTTGCAGGCAAATGGATGGAGCTAGAAAACATTATTTTG